AGTCTTTTCAAGAGACAGCTATGTTAAGGAGTAAAATCATGGAAAACGAAAATTATATCGAAATTTTTCGATAACAAGGGAAATTTCGAAAAAAAAAATCTATAAAACGAGAAATTGATTAACAAATTTCTATAAAAAGATAATTGTGTGGAAAATTTTTTATAAAAAGCGAATTGTCTTGAAAATTTTCTATTAAAAGTGAATTGTCTAGAAAATTATCTTTAAAAAGAGTATTGTCTGGAAAATTTTCTTTTAAAAAAGAATTTTCTCGAAAATTTTTTATAAAAATTGTCTAAACAATTTTCTTTAAAAAGAGTATTGCCTGAAAAATTTTCTTTTAAAAGAGAATTTTCTCGAAAATTTTCTTTAAAAAGAGAATATTCTAGAGTGTTTTCTTTCGAGAAAAAGAGAATTTTCTCGAAAAATTTCTATAAAAAGAGAATTTTCTCGAAAATTTCCTATAAAAAGAGAATTTTCTCGAAAATTTCCTATAAAAATAGAATTTTCTCGAAAATTTCCTATAAAAATAGAATTTTCTCGAAAATTTCCTATAAAAAGAGAATTTTCTCGAAAATTTCCTATAAAAAGAGAATTTTCTCGAAAATTTCCTATAAAAAGAGAATTTTTTCGAAAATTTCCTATAAAAAGAGAATTTTCTCGAAAATTTTCTATAAAAAGAGAATTTTATCGAAAATTTCCTATAAAAAGAGAATTTTCTCGAAAATTTCCTATAAAAAGAGAATTTTCTCGAAAATTTCCTATAAAAAGAGAATTTTCTCGAAAATTTCCTATAAAAAGAGAATTTTCTCGAAAATTTCCTATAAAAAGAGAATTTTCTCGAAAATTTCCTACAAAAAGAGAATTTTCTCGAAAATTTCCTACAAAAAGAGAATTTTCTCGAAAATTTCCTATAAAAAGAGAATTTTTTTTTTCGAAAAATTTCTAGTGTATTTAGGTTGATAGGAGGATGTATACTACATAAAATCCGAAGAAATACACCTAGGCCACTATCAGGCCTGTTGTGCGCTCCTTTTCATGGAAAAAAAATATAGTTCACTGAATGAAATAGTGATTTTTCGGTGTTCAAAAACTCAGTTTCCTGGACGTAATTCCTAAGAATCTTCCAATCAGTGTTAGTCAGGAATGTTATTTCCGGAATAACATAACTTCCAAGATACATGGATCTAACTTCGAAGAATGCCTGGCAGTGGCAAAGAAAGTGCTCCAGAGTTTCACTGTCCTCTCCACATGCACTACATTCATCTAAATCCGCACGTCCAATTCTGCATAGATGTGCTCGTACTCCTGTGTGTCCACACAGAATACGTACCATCATACTAACTTCAGACTTGCTCATTTTGAGGAGATTTTTCGTCTTGCTCTCATCAGGGTCACCCCATAGGATCTTTGTGATATTGCACTTTTTGTCTAAAGCAGTCCACAAGATTATTGAAGCATAAGCTAGAATTGGTCTAATGACACTTTTATAAAGTCAATTTGTCATAGTAGGACTAAGACCCCATTTTATGCCTATAGTTCTCCTACATATAGCCCAGCACCGATGTGCCTTGTTGATCCTATCCTCTATGTGGTGTCTCCATTTTAATTTCAAAAATTTTCTATAAAAAGAGACTTTTCTCAAAACTTTTCTATAAAAAGATAATTTTCTCGAAAAATTTCTATAAAAAGATAATTTTTCGGAAAAAATTCCACTATTTACTTTTACTGACAATTTCCTCCTCTTCATATTTAAAGTCCTCTGCTCCACTTAAATATCCATATGTTTTAGTTTTTTGTAAAGTTGTTTTATTTATCTTCTTCTCCTTTCTCATCTCCGGCATTTTTGTATAGAAAAAAAGTCTTTACCGCCACGTGTTATCTTAAGTAAAACCAAATGTATAATCTTAATAACCCTGGCTCTTCATATAAATAAATTTCCCATTTTTAAGCCAACTTTTCCACATGTTCGTTCCTCTTCAAGTGTATATATAACAGAGTATAACAGAGTTTTCTACCAACTAACTTTTTTCCTGTATTTTTTTTTATCCGTTTTAAAGGTTCAGACACTTTACCAGATATTTGCGTGTCTGTGTGTGTGTATGTTTTTTTTTATCACATCGCGTTTGTTGTTTGTTTTAAGACCCAAAAGAAACTGAATAAGAAAATACGTTCATACATACGTACAACTCTTATTAATACAGTTGTAATCTCTAGTGGATCTCAACTAATTAATTGACTTTTGGTGTTTTTAAAGTCAGATAGTATGCATTCGAACATTACTTTTTTTTAAAAGGAAGCATATGAGGGAATCAACAAACAAATAAACAGCAACAAGATGACGTACAGGGAAATGCAATGATGGATATAGGAAAGAATGGGTAAAAATTATTTTCTGTAAGCTACAAGTGCAAGATTTTTTTTAAATAAAATTTATAAAATAAAATCCCTTTTAAATGTAAAATTTTCTTGGAAAATTTTTGTGTGTACAGGAAGTTTTCAATATGATTAGATATGACGGAAACTTCAGCACTTTTTCAATTTGGTATTATGGCGGTAAACGTCATATAAATATTGCTGACATGTTCGCATTTCTGAACATATTCATTTACTTACATTACTATTTTTTTAGATAATGGTAATTGTTAGAACTATGTTCAACAGATCTGAATGTATCGGACCATTGTAAGATAATACCTCGAAACATGATTCAAATTCGGTGCTTTCATTAATGACAATTTGTAGATTCAGTAAAGAAGATATCAAAAGAAATCTTTGTCGGGCTATGAGAAACTTACATATCCCTGTCCATTGCAATCTAAATAATTCATATTCAGAACTTCTTAATTATCTCTAATAAATGACTCCAGTCGGTCTACAACTCCATGTAATGCCAGAATCTTTGTCAAATCTCAGAAATTATATTTTTTTGTCGATACCCCCTCATCACTCTAACGGTCATTTATAAGGAGTATATAGCAAAGTGAAGTGGAATTCACTGGAAAGAGTACTAATCGGACCTGGAATTTAGTGGTGGTTCTATTAGTACTAGATGAAGAACTCTGGAACTGTTCCAAAAATTTTAGTCTCGTAAATGTTGGTGTTTATACAACATCAAACTTGGTTCTCGAATGACAGACATCACTTAGGTAGATGTCGAAACATTCTATAATAGGACTTCTGGTCCTAAAAAGATAAACGTCAAGATGGCTTGTGCATCGATGTTATGACACACCAAAAAGTGTCACAATGTCCATGAGCATAGTGACATAAAGCCCATGAATAAGTGTTCATATGTTAAGAAAAAGCTTAACTTCGCGAAATCGTTGATGGAAATACTTCTAATTTTAAAACCCCACCGCACAACTACGGATATTATGACTCTCGATTCCCGATAACTCCGCAAGCTTGCGCAATCTATGTGCTCGCTTGAAGCTTCCTTTAGAGTACAATATCAAACTTCCAGAGTACAACATCAAACTTGGTACTCGAATGCCAGACATCACTTAACGAGATGACGAAATATTCTATAATAAAACTTTCCGGATCTCAGGTCCTCAAAAGATAGCAAGATAACTTGTCCTTGGACATTATGACACACCAAAAAGTATCACAATGTCCATGAGCATAGTGACATGAAACCCATGAGTTAGAGTTCTAATGTTAAGAAAAATCTTAACTTTGCGAGACCGTTTTTGGAAACACAAGTTTAAAACCCCAACGCACCACCGAAGACCTGCTACGGACATGGTGACACACTATAAGCGATAAACTACACGATCTTGCACAATCTATGTGCTTAAGATTGGCGAAGATCATGTGGCCTTCCTCTAACTCTCAAAAAATCTTTACTACACCTTCCGAGATCAATCTTGGTACTCGAATGCCAGACATCACTTAACGAGATGACGAAATATTCTATAATAAAACTTTCCGGATTTCAGGTCCTCAAAAGATAGCAAGATAACTTGTCCTTGGACATTATGACACACCAAAAAGTATCACAATGTCCATGAGCATAGTGACATGAAACCCATGAGTTAGAGTTCTAATGTTAAGAAAAATCTTAACTTTGCGAGACCGTTTTTGGAAACACAAGTTTTAAACCCCAACGCACCACCGAAGACCTGCTACGGACATGGTGACACACTATAAGCGATAAACTACACGATCTTGCGCAATCTATGTGCTTAAGATTGGCGAAGATCATGTGGCCTTCCTCTAACTCTCAAAAAATCTTTACTACACCTTCCGAGATCAATCTCAGGACACATCTTGAAAGATTTTAAGCCACATTCGCAAGGCAAACTAGTTTGGATAGGATTCCAGATTTTCTTATCACAGTTATCACATAGGGATCCATATATGTACCCAATTCCATGTACCCAAATATGGGGAGTCTGCTAACCTAACTTAATGGACTAGTTCTCAGAAATTATGTTAACAACTAAGAACGAAAAGTTGATCAACATTAGCATTAAACTAACTCGTAAACACATAGACACTGTGCTAACCTAAACTAATGTACAGGTTCTCAGGAATTTCGATTGCAACTAAGGCAGAAAAGTTTGCCAAGATAACTCGCCCCATGAGGGAACAACGAGGGACCTGTTGTCACATCGTGTCCCCATTTGTATCAGAAAAGTTTTTCTTTAACTTATTTCTCCTATTCCGACATGCCTCCAGCGATATTCCGAAAACAGCTTTTATCTTCTTTTCTAGACATTCATACTAGGTGCTTAGATATTTGGCATAAATGTTAATCACGAAGTTTTTCAAAACTTCAAGTCGAATGTTAGTTTTCAGAAAGAAATTGCAGATTGACTAATAGGGTCATTTTTGAGATAAATACTTATACCAAGACAAACCATATACTGTATATAAAAGCATAAATCCCCAATTTTAGTCATAGAATATTTAATACCAAACGTTTATCTATTTTAAATTTCAGTTTTCTAAATTAATCCAAATATTTTAAATATCTTTAATTTTGTTTCTTTCAGTTCCGAAACTTTGGCATCTTGCGGAAATGATCACCAGTGTTGCGGGGTAAGTCTTTCATTATTTTTTATAAATTTTATTTAAAATAAATTCCGAAGAAATTGAATATAAGATAAAATATCTTTGTATTTGTAAATTATCACTTTACTGTCCCCAAGTAATCTATAGAGTATACTTTAAAAAAAAACTTGAATTTAACTAGCTTTCTGACAGTCTCTTAGTAATCTATAGAGAGACGATAGACTTTCTCCTACGACAAGCACATGTTTAAATATCAGGGTTGTGATATCGAATTTCGTCCAATGTTTGCGAACTCCAACAATAAGGGAATTTTTATTATCTAGGTATCGGTCGAAAATTTTTAAACGAACAACGAACATAATAAATGTATTTTCCTCAATGACCCCTTTACAAACTTGAACGTTAAGAACATCAAACTATCTTTTCTTTATTTGTTTGCATTTCAGATCCATTACCTAAGAATACAAAAAAAAACTATGCCTTCATTTATTATCTTTTAAACATTTTTTATTTACTTTATTATACTTTTTCTCTGCCAAAGATGTAGCTTCAACCACCATACATACGTACCCCTACTCTACTTTAACGCTGGATAGCTACAATAAAACAAAAGCAGCAAAACAGCAAAGGATTATTAAAAGCCAGTTTTAATTTTCTGCATTTTATTGTCTGATGCACTTTGGCATTTTTTGTTAAAACAAAAAGAACGAAAATAAAAAAAAACATCATCATTCGTACCTGAAGTCATGCAGTCCGTCAGCAGTAAGATGGTCGTAAAAAAGCAAAATGCTTTTAACCGCCACAATGGTTCTTTCTTCAAAAACTTTTAGTCAGTCAAGACAGACAGACGGATGGACGGACGGACGGATGGACGGACGGACGGACGGACAACTCATCGAAATGCTTTTGGTCCTACATTCCAGAATTGCTCTACTTAGTTGCTTTTTAAACATGAGATTTAACTTCAATTCATTTGATTTTTTCAAGCCGTACATGTGTGTGGTGGTTGTTGTTGATAGTGGTCGGTCGACTGACTCTGTCGGTTTATCAGTCAGTTGTTGTTGCTAGCCGACCGCATTGGTTTATGTTGTTTATCGTTGCATTTGTAAGATTAGCTTTCTGTGAGTTAAAAACAAAATTAAACGCTTAGTCAGTTTCTATCTAAAGATACACACATACAAGTCGTAAAGACAGCATCATTGGTTTGCTTTAGTTGGTTTTTTTTTCCAGATCTTTCAATGTGCATACTGTTGCCGTCAACATTCATCTCAAGTTGCATTGGTTGGCGGCATCTGCTTGTTTTACATTTTTTTTTTTTGCTCGTACATATTCGTTTTTTAGTTTTATTGCAGCTCTATAAATGATAAAAAGTCTATTTGCGATTATTCAATAGCATTTTTTTCTGTTTCTTCTCTAGTTTTATAAAATCTTGTATATGGACAAGTTTGAGGATGTACTGCGGTTGTTGGGAGGTTAAAACGAGGCATGTTAAACTTTAAATTAATTTTATTTGAAAGTGTTTTAAAATTAATTTTATTTAGGGGATTGTATTCGAACATGTTTGATGTTTATGGGCTCTGGTGGTAAAACTTCTTAAATGAGATTTATTTAATCGAACAAAAAGTTTATAGCAAAGTCTTTGGTGATTTAAATAACAGATTATTGTTGAACTATAATCGAAACTTTGCTATATTATGCTATAGGCTATACTCGACCTCATACTAAAGATTGGACCAGGGACTAGATTATAGATTGGATTATAGACTAGGCTATAGACTAGACTGTAGACTAGGCTAAAAACTGGACTATAGACTAGACTGTAGAGCAGACTGGATTATAGACTAGGCTATAGACTAGACTGTAGACTAGGCTATAAACTGGACTATAGACTAGACTGTAGAGCAGACTGGATTATAGAATAGACAATAGGCTAAGACTATACTATAGACTAGACTATAAACTAGACTATAGACTAGACTATAGACTAGACTAGACTAGACTATAGACTAGACTATAGACTAGACTATAGACTAGACTATAGACTAGACTATAGACTAGACTATAGACTAGACTATAGACTAGACTATAGACTAGACTATAGACTAGACTATAGACTAGACTATAGACTAGACTATAGACTAGACTATAGACTAGACTATAGACTAGACTATAGACTAGACTATAGACTAGACTATAGACTAGACTATAGACTAGACTATAGTCTAGACTATAGACTAGACTATAGACTAGACTATAGACTAGACTATAGACTAGACTATAGACTAGACTATAGACTAGACTATAGACTAGACTATAGACTAGACTATAGACTAGACTATAGACTAGACTATAGACTAGACTATAGACTAGACTATAGACTAGACTATAGACTAGACTATAGACTAGACTATAGACTAGACTATAGACTAGACTATAGACTAGACTATAGACTAGACTATAGACTAGACTATAGACTAGACTATAGACTAGACTATAGACTAGACTATAGACTAGACTATAGACTAGACTATAGACTAGACTATAGCCTAGACTATAGACTAGACTATAGACTAGAATATAGACTAGACTATAGACTAGACTATAGACTAGACTATAGACTAGACTATAGACTCGACTATAGACCAGACTATAGACTAGACTATAGACTAGACTATAGACTAGACTATAGACTAGGCTATAGACTAGACTATAGACTAGACTATAGACTAGACTATAGACCAGACTATAGACTAGACTATAGACCAGACTATAGACTAGACTATAGACTAGACTATAGACTAGACTATAGACTGACTAGAAAGAGAGAATGATTTAGACTTACATAGACAGACTATAGACAGACTATAGACTAGACTATAGACTAGACTATAGACCAGACTATACTAGACTATATACTATAATATATACTAGAATATATACTAGATTATAGCAATATAAACTATACTATACTATAGACTAGACATAGACCAGACTATGACTAGACTATAGACTAGACTATAGACTATAGACTAGACTATATAGACTAGACTATAGACTATAGACTATACTATAGACTAGACTATAGACTAGACTATAGACTAGACTATAGACTAGACTATAGACTAGACTATGACTAGACTATAGACTAGACTATAGACTAGACTATAGACTAGACTATAGACTAGACTATAGACTAGACTATAGACTAGACTATAGACTAGACTATAGACTAGACTATAGACTAGACTATAGACTAGACTATAGACTAGACTATAGACTAGACTATAGACTAGACTATAGACTAGACTATAGACTAGACTATAGACTAGACTATAGACTAGACTATAGACTAGACTATAGACTAGACTATAGACTAGACTATAGACTAGACTATAGACTAGACTATAGACTAGACTATAGACTAGACTATAGACTAGACTATAGACTAGACTATAGACTAGACTATAGACTAGACTATAGACTAGACTATAGACTAGACTATAGACTAGACTATAGACTAGACTATAGACTAGACTATAGACTAGACTATAGACTAGACTATAGACTAGACTATAGACTAGACTATAGACTAGACTATAGACTAGACTATAGACTAGACTATAGACTAGACTATAGACTAGACTATAGACTTGACTATAGAGTAGACTATAGACTAGACTATAGACTAGACTATAGACTAGACTATAGACTAGACTATAGACTAGACTATAGACTAGACTTTAGACTAGACTTTAGACTTGACTATAGAGTAGACTATAGACTAGACTATAGACTAGACTATAGACTACTATAGACTAGACTATAGACTAGACTATAGACTAGACTATAGACTAGACTATAGACTAGACTATAGACTAGACTATAGACTAGACTATAGACTAGACTATAGACTAGACTATAGACTAGACTATAGACTAGACTATAGACTAGACTATAGACTAGACTATAGACTAGACTATAGACTAGACTATAGACTAGACTATAGACTATAGACTAGACTATAGACTAGACTATAGACTAGACTATAGACTAGACTATAGACTAGACTATAGACTAGACTATAGACTAGACTATAGACTAGACTATAGACTAGACTATAGACTAGACTATAGACTAGACTATAGACTAGACTATAGACTAGACTATAGACTAGACTATAGACTAGACTATAGACTAGACTATAGACTAGACTATAGACTAGACTATAGACTAGACTATAGACTAGACTATAGACTAGATTATAGACTAGACTATAGACTAGACTATAGACTAGACTATAGACTAGACTATAGACTAGACTATAGACTAGACTATAGACTAGACTATAGACTAGACTATAGACTAGACTATAGACTAGACTATAGACTAGACTATAGACTAGACTATAGACTAGACTATAGACTAGACTATAGACTAGACTATAGACTAGACTATAGACTAGATTATAGACTAGTCTATAGACTAGACTATAGACTAGACTATAGACTAGACTATAGACTAGACTATAGACTAGACTATAGACCATAGACTATAGACTAGACTATAGACTAGACTATAGACTAGACTATAGACCAGATTATAGACTAAACTATATACTTCCCTATATACTGAAATACAGACTACAATACAGAACCATTTTGACCGCACTACATAAAAACATACAAATTTCCAACAAATGTCAGCATTCCTTTTTTTGTTCACAGAAAAAAATGGAATTCAAAATCAAACAAAAAATTCATAAAGCCAAGTATTTTTTTTACTAAAATAGGACCTATCACGAAATTCGTAAAATCAAGTACTCAAATTCGTAAATTCTTTATTGAAAAAATTTCAGGATTTTTCTTATTAAAATAATATACTATTTACGAAAAACATTAATAAATATTCACAACATTTCCAAACAATTATTTTACTGAAACAATAACAAAAGTTATTAGTATTTGTACTCAAATTCTAGTAAATATGTTATCTGAAACAGTTAAATTATTTATTGTATTTTGGCAATA